TATATATATATATATATATATATATATATATATATACATTTATATATCAGATTCCGCTTAATAGGATCTTCGGCTGCTCTCCGTTCGCCCATACGTTATGCAAACATAAAGTAGGCCTGCACAGAGCCAGTGAATTAAACCATGGCCGATTTTAGTGTGTAGTATAAATATTCTCCCGCTGTAAGATGCTCCCCCTCCACGAAGTCGGGCCCTCCATGAAGCCGGCCAATGCCCTCCTGCTAAAGTGCTATAATAGTGGGAGGGGGAAGCCGCGGCGGGCGTGGCGGGCTTGTTTTCGGCCGCCTCTGCGGCCGTGTCTCTGTGTCCTGGCTTTAGATCTTTTTGTTCTTTCGGGTTCGAGTGATTCAGATCTGAGGCTACGGTGTACCTGTGTAAGACGTTCCTCACCATGGATTTGTGGGCCAAAAACGTGGTCTTTTCGTTATCCTATTACTTTTTTTCCTATCCGTGTTTGCCTTAGCTCAGGAAGCAAGAGTGGGGAGTGACGAGAATGCGTCTGTGAATCCCCTAGGTACCAAAATGTTTCTGAGCTCAGTCAAAAGAGATGGCAAAAGTGTAGGTGTTGGCCTTCCAGTAGGCCAAGATGGCTTGGGACTTCTTGATGCCTTCTTTGCTAGTCTATCCATGATACTCGTCAGTGAGATCGGTGATGAGACATTTATTATAGCAGCTCTCATGGCAATGCGGCATCCAAAGTCAATAGTCCTGTCTGGTGCGCTCAGTGCTCTTATTGTGATGTCGGTAACACACTCAGCTTTTGGTAGGATAGTGCCAAACTTGATATCAAGAAAGCATACCAACAATGCTGCTATTGTGCTCTATTTGTTCTTTGGACTCCGTCTTTTGTACATTGCATGGAGATCTGATTCTAAATCATCTCAGAAAAAGGAAATGGAAGTAGAAGAAAAACTTGAAGCTGGGCAAGGAAAATCAATGTATCGTCATTTATTATCCAGATTTTGCACGCCTATTTTCCTAGAGTTTTTCATTTTGGCATTTTTAGCGGAATGGGGGGATCGCAGCAAGATAACCACAATTGCTCTAGCTACTTATAAGAATGTTGTAGGAGTAGCTGTAGGTGCTACATTAGACCACACGATATGTACATCAGTTGCCGTCGTGGGAGGGAGCATGTTGGCATCCAAGATCTCTCAGCGAACCGTAGCTACCATTGGCGGTCTGCATTTCCTCGGATTTTCTGTGTCTTCGTTCTTCTATCCTCCATTGTGCTTTAAATAACATTTTGGAAACCTTACTGATTATGTTTATTAATACTCTAGTTTTGCTTGCTGCTGATTTCTCTTCTTTTCTAGATTATTTATTGACATGAAATTAAGCTCTAATATCTGCTTGAACTTTAAATATAAATATAAATATATATATACATGTCTTTTTGAAAATGTTTAAAATTTTAAAAATATTTTTAAATTTTAATTTGAGTTCGAACACGATCTTGATTCAAAAAAATATGTTCGAATCAAACCGAACACGAAAATGCTACTTACGAGCTATTTCGAACACGAACAAAATTTTTTTTTTGACAAGTTGAACACAAACAAACCTTGGGCTCGCTCAAGTTTGGCTCGTTTACACCCCTACTTACAACCACAAACCTTCAAGTACTTCTTTGTTGATGCCTAACTTTCTTACACCTTACCTGTTTTAACTGCAGCCTTCACAGCTGCAATCGACTCTTAGCCATTCCCCTCCAGCCGTAGATGCTTTCTCTTAACCTTTACCCTTCACCCCATCTTCCCTACCCTTCTCCAGTTCCCCCTTACCTTCCAACCACCTCCTCCTTCTCACCTGACCTCTCCCTATCTGCACTGACCTGCTCATCCCGACACTCTTCTACACCACTTCCACTTGTTGTCCACGACCCCCAAGCCACCTCACCACCGTTCCACCTGCTGTGCTACTTCGCCCTAGCGGGATATTTGTGTTTTGTACTTCTTTTTTTTCGTCTATTGTCGTGATTGTAAGCCCAGTGCTTTTGCATATTAAAAATTTGATTCCTTATTGATTTCTTGGTTAATTCCGGTATCATCAGATCTGCTTAAGGCAGCGACGCTGTTCTCTTGCTACGCAAATCCTTCAGACTTCTACTGCTCGCATCTATTCCCAATGTCATTGCTCGATTTTGTGGTAGGTGAATTTGATTTTATGTTAAATTCTATGATATTTTTCATCATTTATTCTAGAGAGCCGTGAATTTTCCTTCCATGGACGAGAAACGCTCATCCATTTCAAATTTGATTTTATTCACTTCTTTCTCTAATTTTTTCCTGGAGCGTCTACTTTCGTAGCTACTACTAATCCCAAAAAGATTTTAGATCACAAAGGCGAAACTACTATACGCTGCGATCCCGTGGTTGGCTTCCCGGCTAGCTTGAGCAATTTTAGGTTAAGGATGTGTGTTTGTACTCGCGATGCTGTAAAAACCATGATTGCTTCACAACCAACAATCCTTCAGTTCTCCTTGAAAGTTGTGATCCCTTTTTTGCTTTCCTTAGGTCGAATCACGGTTGTCTTTGTACGTCGCTATCCCGTCAACTTCTCAAAATCAAGGAGCCGCGAACCAGTTGGTGAAGAAATGTTGGAATCACTGCTAGTACTCAATCGAGATATCGAATACCGTGATTTTGCGATCCGACGTTGCTTTCTAGAATCTGTGATCCAGTTGGCGGCGGAAGGATGAAGACGAAGGATGATTTTGCGATCCCATCGGTGATTTCGCAGAAATCGATTGCTCTGATACCAATTTGATAGGAACTTTCATAGAAATTAGGGCAAAACAATTTTTTTCTTTAATAAAACAAAATGAGAAAATATATAAAGAATAAACACCTACAATTTGAGAGGTTGGCAATCTTTATTAACACCTACAATTCAAGAGTTAGGCGATCTCTCAAAAACCTGAATCCTAAGGCTCAAGACAAAAATCATATAACATATCTAACCCTAAATATAATAAGCCCTATTTATGTCAAACAATAATTATTAATAAAAGTCTAAATTTCCCTTAGGCATCAATCTAACATGATGATATTGAATTCTAGAGACATCCTTCATTAATGAGACAAACCTACTTTCGATGATCTATATAAAGCATAAAATTTGTTATAATTTATATTGTGGCCGCCAGATAATATAGTTTAAGCATAAATTATTTAATTTTAGAAGTTTTACAATGATTTGAGCAAAACTTATTTATTTTCATTAGTTGATTTATTTTATTTTGTTTTATAATTTCAATTGTTTATAACATGCTTCTATACTGGCCTTGATAAAGGTTGTATTTGTTTCTACTTTAGGTTAGTTTAGATGATTTGGAATGAGATCGTATTGGTTTTGTTCTATTATATCACCAATTTTAGCTCAAATTCTATATATGATTCCTTTTGGGTGGGCCATCATTATGATTGTAAAGAGAGTAAAAAATTTCAAGTTTTGATATGAATCTTGCGTCCATTTATGCTTCTGGTTGTTACTGTGGCCTCTTTTGATAATGATAAGGTTTAATGAGCTTATGAGAATGTAGCTTCTTTGGATAAAGACGGTACTACGTGTTTCAGATATGAATCAAATTTTTGTAACATTTTTATTTTATTAATGCAGAACACACGCTTTCAAGCATACCAATTCAATGCAAAGTGTTTCAGATATTAGGTTGTTACTTAAATTCTTTATTTTGGATAATATCTTAAGTGTGAATTTAATGGTTATCTCAATTACGGCTGATCGTGTGCTTCCATATACTAACTTAGGGATAAGGAGGCTACAAAAAATATTTAGAGGCATACAGTTACACAATGTTGGCATATATATTTTTTCCTTGTTCTGTTCCATCCGTATAATTTAATCAGACTTATTTAGTGCCCTTGATTTTGATAAGAAAAAAATAATACCTTGAAAATCCAGTATTACATTTAAGTTTCATTCCAATATTGCTGTTTACATTTAAAGAAAACAAGTGATTGAATTATTCAGTGGCTTATGACTTGTGAATCCTCATTTTTTGCATATAATCGTACTATACATAATTTTACCTATACTAGAAAATTCTAATCTCGAGACAGCTTTTTTCTCTTAGTTAACAAAAACTGGCATGCATGTGAAACTTGTTTTTTAGGTAGAACTTAAAGACAATAGTACTTGTAAGTTCAACTTCTTATACTTGAGATGATATTTTGTTGTATTCTCTTGAACTTGAACTTGATTAAAGGCTAAGTTAGCTCCGTTTACCCTTGCCGATAATATTTTTTTCTTTGTTTAGGAAATATCAGGTCCAATTCTATGGCATATATAGAGAAATGCATGGTTCTTCAAACTGTGTTTTTACTTTTAAGCTATTAGGGCTTTCTGACATTTTCTTATACGTTTATTTTTAATCTTTTTAGCATTTTAGTATTGGGCCAACTAATGCTTTCTTCTTGGGGGAGTAGGGAAAATTCCAAGCCCTTGACTTTAATCCTTCTAATTTTTGCTATGTTTTGGAGTGGACGTAGTCAATATTGTATGTATTTATACAATGCCCTTTAAATGGCTTTCAATTTCTTGATTTGAATTTTTTTTCAGTTTTCTCTTATATGCTCCGCATTAGTTTTCTCTTATGTGCTCAGCATTATGTTTTTTATTTTAACTTTCAGTTACCTTTCAAACTTTCAGGATGAACAAAAGAGACTATATTTGTATGGGGCACTTTTTCTTCCTTTGAAAAATACAGTTTACACTGACAACAAGTCAAAAAAGGTTCCAATTGTTCCTTTTATGGAAAATGAATATCTTTATTTTATTTTTTTAATTATTTAATCACGGCTGTTAACATTGTATCATTTCCTCTGAACGTGAAGTTTGTCAATGTGCATATGGTGAACTAAGAGTTCACGATATGTTAATAAAGTTGATAATGTTAGTGAGATGAATTGCAGAGAATTTATCATGTATTTCTTTTCATTGTTTCTGTTAGAATCAATACAAGTCCTAAGGGAACCACTGGCAGGAAATGTATAATATATTGGGAATGAAAATTAACTACATTATTTATTAAAATTATAATAGCAAATAGATTGATGAGGTGGAAACAACGATTTCATGATTGGTGAGTTGGCAAAGATGAGTCTATGGATTGGTGAGGTGGCAGGGAAGAAAATGAGTGCTTGTCGAACATTTGGAGAGGGGTAAATGAGTCGGCGGGATGGTTTTTTATATCCAGGAGGTGAATTCACTGGGCATTAGTTGATGTGGATTTACTGAGGCAAAATGAACTAGGGATGATTTTATTGGGCCGAATTGTGATATATTGGGGCGAATTTTATGGTATGTTGGTCTGTAGGTATCTTCACACTCAAACGAATGAATGGATATTATCTATTAAAATCTTGCCTGATAACTTTTGAAAAACTATCCCTTATAATCCTTTGATGAGAATGCCTGGAAGTTTTTCTCTTTTTCACATATTTGTCAACTTCATTATGCCTAGTGCTGATATATTGTACAAGGCTGTATGCAATATTAATACATGATTTGCTGTGACGGTAATGTTCCATATGATATTTTCATTCAACTTTTAAATCTTTTTTGGTTAATTTTTAGCCATAGGTATTTTGCTGATTTTTAATTTTATAGATTCAAGTTATTCTTCTGTTTTATATCTTGCTTTCATATTTTTTCTTAAGCTACTAGATTGCTCTATAAAAAGTGCAATCTTTTGAACTTAACCTTCTATCGACCATAAAATCCGCATTTGTAAATTTTAAGGGTCAAATTCTTATCCATTTTGAATGATTTTCTTTTGCCTGCGGTTCTTTTGTGATATTAAAAAAATTGATAGTCTTAAGATGTGATTTTTTAAGATTGTACATATTCTGACATATGCGGGCATCTTCAGCAACCTGGACCGGACGCAGCATCTAGGTCGCACAAACAACACATAATCGAACCAAGCGACTTCTCTTTCGATTCTTTTCCAAATTTCAGCACGTGTCTTTTTATCTTTTCTTCATTTCTAGTCATTTCCTACATGTGTTGTATTAGGTTTGGATCCTCAATTTTTGGTCTTGTCGTCTGTCATGATAACCATCGACATCTCTGGTTTTCTCTTCTAGGGCGTATCCGAGGGCGAGTGGTGCTTCGGCTGTATCTCATTCTGAGTTGATGACTATCCTATACTTTCCCTTCCTGTGAAACCTTCCCTCTACTGCTACCGTTGCCGTACTTGCTGCAGCCATCCCGGAGAACAATGCATGTGATGTTCCAACAGCCTTCATGACTTCCTGCCGCCCTTTCCAGCCGCCTATTACCTTATTGCTGATTTCAATCTAACCGCCAACCAACCTACCAGCCTCCTTGCCCACCTTCTTCCCTACTGTAGCGTCCGGACAACCCCGATAGTTGTTTTCTGCAGTCCATTTTGCTTACCTCTTTCCAGACTCCACATACCCCTTCTCCTGCCTTCCAAAACCAACCCTCCTCTCTTTCCTTTGCCCCAAACCTGCACCCACCTTTCTGTCATTCTGCTGTCAGGCCGCCCGAGATTGTTACCATCCCCAAACCACAACCCCACAATCCCTCTGCTGTTGCTATTACCGCTTACCTTGCCAAATCGTATGAACACCCTATTATGGTTTTTGTTGTAAAGTGTATCAAAAAGTTGAAGCACCTTCCACGAATTCTTCCGTCTAGCTGATTGGTGTTTGATACAATCAGTGAATGGATCCATTTACCCAAATTTTATGATTAAGCAAAAACTTGTGGAGTATCTGTAATACTTTATGTTGCAGATAGCTATGACGATGAAGATGATTAGATTAATATTTCATTTTCACTCATGACATTGATGCCGGCATTTTCTAGAAGCCAGCAACCCAAGATTTCGTTTGTTGTAGGTTACCAGGACTATGAAGTTTGTCAAGAGATTTCAATGATTTTTCTTCTTAAATTTATTAACTTTTGTTTCAGTATTATGAGGTATGTTTAAATATTTTTGTTTGAATTAGGTTATCTTGCATCTTCAATTTCCGATTGCTGATTAATTTAGAATTTTTTATGTGTTTTATTTTGTCCAATATAATTATGTTATATTGTTATCTTGGTTTTGACTTAACCATAAATCACTGGTTTTTTATCGTTTTTGTAGTTCTATTATATAGTTCCAGTTTGAATAAATTTTTTGTGACACCTAATTTACAGATTCCAGTAACTAACTTTATCATACGAAATTCTTTGAAGCTGAAAGCTAATGATGCTGAAATGGTTAGTTATTCTCAATGAATTTACTTGTCGCTTTTAGAAGTTGTTGGCTTAATTCTTTACATCCTTCATCAAAGTTGTCTTCCTCAAGAAATGTATTTCTAGGTGTTCGCCTTACATGGTGCAGTTGAGAGGTTTAGTTCATTACTTCCTTTCTTGGAATCAGATAGAGAGCCTGTACCAGCTGAAGCCAAGCTTGAAGACGAATTCCTTGATATACCACCAGCTTCAAGGAAGCGGGTCTTGGCAGGTAGATGAAAAGCTCATCCATTGTTTCCCTCATATACTTTCTTTTAACCATCTGCTTGTATTTCTTCTAGCTCTCTTTTCCATCACGATTTTCACTGTTTCCTTTGTATATTTTCTTTATTTACTGCTGTATATGACTTGTTCCTTTTTTGAAAACAATTCGCTTTTACAGCATAGTTAGTCTACTTGAGATTGAAATTGAAATTCTCTTTCTTTCAGTTGCTTTGTTGCACGCTTAATTATATTCTATTTAAAGTTCGAGATTATACTTATTTTGGATCCTTGATAAATTAATTTTACTCAGGATTGCTTCTGCGTGACATAAAAAGCTTTTGGCGTGTCGCGTTGTTGCTGTCCACTCTCTTGCATCCAATTGATGAAACTATTGGATATTCTCGGAACAAAGAATCAGAAAGAAGGGAAATTTTCAGAAAAGTTGAGAGGATCATTACTGTTCTTGGTGAGTTCACTTCTTTACATTTTATGATGAGTATTTGCGGTCGTTTCATAATGCAGTCACTTAATGTTATATTTTGTGATTATTATATAAAAATAACATTTTTTCTGAATTTTTCTGATATTTTAAAACTAAAAATTTGTTCATTATTTTTTTTCAAAAGCAAAAGAGCAAATGCATAGAACAAAATCAAATCAGTCATTTTTTTTCTCCATTTCATAAATATTTTCAGTGTTCCATGCTTCTAGCCTTCTTATCACCTTAGGCTTCGCAGGCCATGCCATCACAGGACTGTGTCATATCATTTAAGCCATCCCATCCACGTTGCTCAGCTTCTCTTGCCACCCAGACCTCTCTACCAATTAAACTCCCAACCCCTGTCCATAGAGGCTCAAAAAAACCTAGAAAAGTATTGTTATGTTTTTGTGCCTTCCCATTCTCCGTTGAGCTTATTGTGCTTCATTGACGTCTCTTACAGCTGTCCAATGAGCTCTATGTACAGAGCTCGTTCTTACACCTTTTCTTCGACTAGCATAGCATCATTTACTGATCGTTCCAAAGGCCCTTTGATCTTTTCGTTGAAACCCCACTAGACTGCTTGGCAAGGCTTATTGAAGGTCGCTATTGTGGATTGTTGCTTTGCGCAGAGATTTACTATAGACATTTTAGCCTTGTAGGCTCCTCAAATTCCCACTTGACTTTGTTATATTCAAGTGATTCTAAGCTAAATTTTTAGAAGGCAGATATAGCTTACCTCTTTCCAGACTCCACATACCCCTTCTCCTGCCTTCCAAAACCAACCCTCCTCTCTTTCCTTTGCGCTGTCGCTGCCTCCCAAACCTGCACCCACCTTGCTGTCATTCTGCTGTCAGGCCGCCCAAGATTGCTACCATCCCCAAACCACAACCCCACAATCCCTCTGCTGTTGCTATTACCGCTTACCTTGCCAATCGTACGAATACCCTATTATGTTTTTTGTTGTAAAGTGTATCAAAAAGTTGAAGCACCTTCCACGAATTCTTCTGTCTAGCTGATTGGTGTTTGATACAATCAGTGAATGGATCCATTTACCCAAATTTTATGATTAAGCAAAAACTTGTGGAGTATCTGTAATACTTTATGTTGCAGATAGCTATGACGATGAAGATGATTAGATTAATATTTCATTTTCACTCATGACATTGATGCCGGCATTTTCTAGAAGCCAGCAACCCAAGATTTCGTTTGTTGTAGGTTACCAGGACTATGAAGTTTGTCAAGAGATTTCAATGATTTTTCTTCTTAAATTTATTAACTTTTGTTTCAGTATTATGAGGTATGTTTAAATCTTTTTGTTTGAATTAGGTTATCTTACATCTTCAATTTCCGATTGCTGATTAATTTAACAATTTACTTAACCATAAATCACTGGTTTTTTATCGTTTTTGTAGTTCTATTATATAGTTCCAGTTTGAATAAATTTTTTGTGACACCTAATTTACAGATTCCAGTAACTAACTTTATCATACGAAATTCTTTGAAGCTGAAAGCTAATGATGCTGAAATGGTTAGTTATTCTTAATGAATTCACTCGTCGCTTTTAGAAGTTGTTGGCTTAATTCTTTACATCCTTCATCAAAATTGTCTTCCTCAAGAAATGTATTTCTAGGTGTTCTCCTTACATGGTGCAGTTGAGAGGTTTAGTTCATTACTTCCTTTCTTGGAATCAGATAGAGAGCCTGTACCAGCTGAAGCCAAGCTTGAAGACGAATTCCTTGATATACCACCAGCTTCAAGGAAGCGGGTCTTGGCAGGTAGATGGAAAGCTCATCCAATGTTTCCCTCATATACTTTCTTTTAACCATCTGCTTGTATTTCTTCTAGCTCTCTTTTCCATCACGATTTTCACTGTTTCCTTCGTATATTTTCTTTATTTACTGCTGTATATGACTTGTTCCTTTTTTGAAAACAATTCGCTTTTACAGCATAGTTAGTCTACTTGAGATTGAAATTGAAATTCTCTTTCTTTCAGTTGCTTTGTTGCACGCTTAATTATATTCTATTTAAAGTTCGAGATTATACTTATTTTGGATCCTTGATAAATTAATTTTACTCAGGATTGCTTCTGCGTGACATAAAAAGCTTTTGGCGTGTCGCGTTGTTGCTGTCCACTCTCTTGCATCCAATTGATGAAACTATTGGATATTCTCGGAACAAAGAATCAGAAAGAAGGGAAATTTTCAGAAAAGTTGAGAGGATCATTACTGTTCTTGGTGAGTTCACTTCTTTACATTTTATGATGAGTATTTGCGGTCGTTTCATAATGCAGTCACTTAATGTTATATTTTGTGATTATTATATAAAAATAACATTTTTTCTGTATTTTTCTGATATTTTAAAACTAAAAATTTTATTCATTATTTTTTTTCAAAAGCAAAAGAGAAAATGCATAGAACAAAATCAAATCAGTCTTATTTTTTTCTTCTCCATTTCGTAAATATTTTCAGTGTTCCATGCTTCTAGCCTTCTTATCACCTTAGGCTTCGCAGGCCATGCCATCACAGGACTGTGTCATATCATTTAAGCCAACCCATCCACGTTGCTCAGCTTCTCTTGCCACCCAGACATCTCTACCAATTAAACTCCCAGCCCCTGTCCATAGAGGCTCAAAAAAACCTAGAAAAGTATTGTTATGTTTTTGTGCCTTCCCATTCTCCGTTGAGCTTATTGTGCTTCATTGACGTCTCTTACAGCTGTCCAATGAGCTCTATGTACAGAGCTCGTTCTTACACCTTTTCTTCGACTAGCATAGCATCATTTACTGATCGTTCCAAAGGCCCTTTGATCTTTTCGTTGAAACCCCACTAGACTGCTTGGCAAGGCTTATTGAAGGTCGCTATTGTGGATTGTTGCTTTGCGCAGAGATTTACTATAGACATTTTAGCCTTGTAGGCTCCTCAAATTCCCACTTGACTTTGTTATATTCAAGTGATTCTAAGCTAAATTTTTAGAAGGCAGATATAACATTAAATAAGATATTGCCTAGATATTTCACCTTGAATTGGATTCCATGATCTAATTTGAAGGTTTGTCGTATGATCAAGTTCCAATAGTTGATGATTACAATTTTGGATCATGAGAGAGCACTTTAGATTAGGATTAGTTGATAGACTTTGCAATGTTAAATTTTTATAAGTAATCATTTGATATCAGAAGAAGAATATGCTATCATTATTTATTAGTTTAAAGAGATTGGTAGGTAAATGATATCAATGGTCAAGATCCTGTGGTTATCTTTAGCAATCGTGATTCTTAATCTACTCAGAATGATTGACATATCATTTTCAGCAACCATAAATTGCATTGTTCAAGAGAATCTCGTAAGCATTGAGTGGAATTTTCTAGGAGACAATTTTAAACTAACTTTGGCTAAAAGAACTTCATTATCTCATGCATATTATGCCTAACAACTCATAAACATATGGCTTGTTTGGACTTATTTTTTGTATTTATAAAAATAAATAAACATATTTTTAAAATGCTCAAAACACATTTAAAATAACTTTTATGTATTTTGAGTTTTTTTAAAAATAACTATATTTTAATGTAATATGTCAAATATATTTTGTTTCAAATCAAAACATAAAGAAAATAAAGAAATAAAAGATAAAAAATAAAAAACAAAAATGATCCCAAACGGCCCCTTGGCTATTAAGAAATATTTGGGCTTTATGCATAACTTCAGGGGTCGTTTGGGATCCTTTTTTTTGTTTCTTTTTTTTTTTAATAAAGTTTATACTTGAAATAAAACATGTTTGGTATGTTATAACATGTTATGTTTTTAAAAATACTCAAAACTTTTAGTTGTTTTGAGTATTTTTAAAAACAAGTTATTTAAGTTTGGAAAACAAAAAATAAAAACATGAAAAAAATATACCAAACAAGCATCTTTTTAGAATAAATGAAAAAAAAATAAAAAATCAACTTAAACATTATGGTCAGAATGCATGTGTCACACTCTTATTGATATCAGTTTTTTTTTTTTTAAATGTGATCATGTGGTTAAGCTTAATATGTGATTTCCTTTATGAATGTTGCTCGAATTTGCATTTTCCAACTTAGATAAGCTGGTGTCAAGGATGGATGAATACCTAATCTGAGTGCAAAACAAACCAATTTTTGTTCTTTTGTTTTTTGGCATTTTTTTTTATTTTATATTGTGGTTGGTGATAATTTAAGTGGCATTCCGTCTAGTTATGACTTGGCTTTTAATGTACCAATCATCAAGAAAATAGCTTGAAATACTCATTGGGATTTGAAAGGGCATTATGATAAGAATGATTTTTTTTTTCCTTGATATTATGATAAATTAACCCATCCTAGGGGAAAAGTTAAGGTATCTTGTTTAATTTATTGTGGGCAGTACAGATTTTTGTAAAAACCCTCTAGTTATGGTGGGTGTAATCAAATCTAACATAAGGGTTTGAATGTTGGATTTAGGGTTGAAACCCTGGTAGGTTACCATCTTAGGCTTAATCATAATTTCTTGAACTACTTGTATGCTTTCATTGATTTGCATTGTTGAGGCTTTTAAATTGTTGAAGCTTTGGAAAGCTGGCTTGATCACTATGTGTGATTAGTGTGTGCCTACCCACACAATCATCCTTTGGCTTATTGATGAGGAAGGTTGTTAACTGCTTTGAAAGTATGACCATTGATTCCCCTGCTTGGTCCTGGTTAGTGAACTGATTTTCATTTGATTTTTTAATATAGCTTGCTGAGGCTGCGCAAGCATCAACATTCTTCCTACACAGATTTTAAAGCTTTTTTATCGGACAAAATTGTTAATCTTCAAGGGCCTTAGGTGTTTTGAGTTTGAACTTTTAATTTGTATATAAATGTTAATTCTCTCAATTATATTCTTATAATAATTTCATCCTTCATCAATCTAGGATTAAAAGGCCATGCACTTTTTATTTTGATATGTAGATTGTTGTGTTCCATGCTTAGTCAACCTTGTTATTTATTCATAGAATATGGCTCGGAAGATTGTCAGCATTAATTGCTTTGACTTAAACTGATTACTTAACTAGGATCCAATTGAGAAGAATTTATATATATGGATTTTGCATGTACTCAGATACTATTGTATTATAGATCTTGTTAATTCCACCCTTGTATGTGCAAGATCATTCTTGAAGATTTGAGCGTACATGGGATCAGCTAGCTCTTACAACCCTGCCTTATATATAGGTAGGGCGGCCTACTTAATTTTTCTTTAATGAATTGTTATTAGAAAAGGCTTATAGGCCATATGCAGTTTTTGTTTTCAAAATATTTTAGAAATATTTAATCAAATATCTTTTAAATACATGCATTTAAAAATTTAGAGTAATCAGAATGTATGAATTTAATAAATGCAAACCAAAACCTATGAAATGAAATCAGTGCGGGTGGGCGTGATGATGGAGGTGGTATAGTGGTGACGCTGGTCGAAGGGAAAGTGGTGGTATTGGATGGCAGCGACAATGGCTGAGAGTACTTTGCGCTTGGTTGAGGTGTGTAAGCACTGCTAGTGGGCATAATGTTCATTTTTGAAATATATTAGTTTAAGCTATATCCTAACATAATCAAAACATAAGTTTTGGGGTATTTTCAAAAACCTTAAAATTTTATTTTATATTTCTTTTCCTTACCTTAAAACATGAAAAAAAAAATTACAATATGGAAATTAAAATGCATTACCATATCAATTTGACTGACTAAATTAACTTTAGTGAGAAGTATACTAATAATTAATATTTTCTCTCTTAGGCAAGCGTTGACAAGTGTATATTTTGCGTGTAGAGAATCAAGTTTGAAATTCTAGACTTGTATCCTTATAGAGAGGTTGGTATTTTTTAGTTTTCTTTTTTTTCAAAAAATATGTATTTTTATTGAAAGGCTTCAGGCAAATGCACGTCAAGATTTGAATTCAATTATTTGATCTCTAGTTCGGTATTCATAATCATTCTTTTATCACATGAACAGTTGGTTGGGATGCATATAATGTAGACACCTCTATTTAGCACATTTAGGATTAGGCCTAAAGATTTGAACATACTATCATTCCTATAGGAAGGTGTTGACCTCACTTTTTGTTGAGGTCTAGTTTCTTCTTTAGAAGCCTAGGATCTAGCCATAAGACTTTCCTGTCGGTTATTTCTAAAGGATTAGTGATGGAACCCTCACCAATAAAAATTCTAAACTCTTCTTTGCTCGTCTTGAAGTTCCATATGTTAATTCTAACCTCTAGCACTTAGTAGGTGGGACCAATATGGGGAAGCTCAAGAGGAGTCCCTGTAGGACTGTTTGGCCTTAGGGGTAACCCTGGGTGGTGTGGTCTTGGTCAGCCCTGCACACACACTTGCACCTACACACACAACCTAAATCCTAAACCAAGCATATCTAGCTTAATCCCCTAATTTATTGGAAACTCATGTGGATGGTCCCCTGAATCATTAGCCCTGGGCTAGGGTTTAGCTAAGACCAGCACATGAAGGATCCATAATGGGATTTCTCTTGGTCTCATGACTCAAATAGGGCGACCTCATGATTAACATCCTCAATCAGTCCCAATTTTGCCAAAACTCCCAAAATACTCTAAAATCACCCAAAATTACCAAAATACCCTCAATACCCCAAAAATTTCAAAAAATTCCCAAAATCTTCAAAATCACTTCAAATTCTCCCAAAATCAATTTGAACCATTCCATTGAGCCGAATTTCACCAAATTGACCAATTTTGACCAAAATCCCCAAATTGCCCTTAAGGGCCCAAATTCTCCAATTCACTCCCAATTTCCACTAATTTGATTGCAATCTCCTCCAATTCCAATTCCAAACTCAAATTCATGTTCTAATCCAATTGAAACCAAATTCAAGTCCAATTGAACCTAATTTCAAGTCCAATTTCAATCTCAATCCAAAATCCCCGATTTTAGCCATACCCTTAAATCCCCCAAATTGAATCCCATGATCAAATCAATTTCACCAAATTCAGACTCTAAAATCTTCATAACATTTCCCCAAATCAGTTTGAACAATCAATTGACCTAAATTTGAACTCAAAGCTCACCCAAATCCAACTTGAGCCAAAATTCCCAAATATTCCCCAAACTTGCACTAAAGCCCAAATTCCATCAAATTGACTCCCCAAATCAATTCAAAATCACTCAATTCTTTTTCCAAACTTCTCACGACAATTATCCAAGTCAAATTGACCAATCAATTGAGCCAAATTCAAAGTCTAACCAAACTCAAACTCAAATTCAAGCCCCTGACATGATTTTGAACTCAAGTTATGCATGTAACCAAACCTAGCCAAATTGATCAACTCAAGCCTACCACAACCAACATTTGGACCCTAAAAACCATCCTAGATCCACCTTGCCCAACCTTGTTTAACACCCACCCTACATGACCCATGGACCAAAGGCCCCTTGATTTAGGGGATCTCTTCCCATATTTGTTTAAATCCAAGATATCTTTGTCATCTGCCTTAACCATTCAGAGTTAAGGATTATTAATCCTCTCCTGGCTCACCTGTCTCCTCTGGCCACCAACCTTGGCCCTGTCGGCTGGCCTACTGGCCGGAAAAGCACCAAAACGGAGAGCCACCCCCTTGCTTAAACTCCAAATTTGAATTCCCTGAGTTGGCTCATTTCAATTGTTCACTTGTGTTACTCAGCCCTCCACCTAAGCAACTTTTGCACCCACTTGCCAACCATGGTGGTCTCTCATTCTCCCTCTATTTAAACTCCACCTCCCACGGCCAAAAAAAAAAGAGATCATCCAATTCCTTGGGGAAACTCTGCCAAATTGTTTCTAGAGCTCTTCCAAGACCTAAGCCCATTCCAATCATCTTCCAGCCATTCATTCCACTGCTTGAGCTCAATTTCTGAGCTCAAAATCAGGGCAGATTTTGTTCATTTCCCAAAACTCCACAAAGCTTCAAATTAAACCTTTCAAAAGTTTCCTCAGACTAAACGAGGAGGTTCGCCATCAAAATCTCTATGTTGAGCCCTCCAACCCTCGTAGACCAAGGCCGCACCACCTGTTGGTCCAACTCATACTTGGACCATTCACCAGAGAAAAAGAAAACATCCAGGAGGTTCGCCAGACTCCACTGAAGCTTCCACAAGCATTTGATTGAGGCATTCCCTCTCAGACAAAGGTATAGCTCACTAACCCTAATCTTGAGCTCGTTTTTCACCAAGTGTTTGTGAGGAAAACTTGCAATTCATAGCAATGTAAACGTATAGATGTGTTCTTCTTGAGTAGATGAATGTGTAGGAACAAACCCGAAGCAATTTGGTTGAGTCTAGGCCGAGATCTTAGGGTTTGAAGTCATGCGGTTCTCAGGTTAGGTTAATCGGGAACGATGACCCACAGTCGTCCGATCGCGCTTGTATCGAGACGATGGGGTGAGAACCGCGGGCTGATGAGGCGACCACGTGGATGGCGGCATTGAATGGAGAAGTGCCACGCGGAGCTTCGACCGGTAAGAGAATCCAGTCAGCGCCATCCGTTTAAATACAAAATTAGGGATTTTTGAATTATTTTAATTCTAGATCTTAAAAAATTCATATCTTTGCTTAGAAAATTCATAAAAATAAAATAAAAATACTTTGTTGCTCAATAAACATAGGAGATTAATGTGGAATAAAAATAAAAATTATTTGGTATCTCTGATTCTTAATTAATTAAATAGCCTCTGCAATGTTTTAATTTTAATTGTGTATTAATCATCATGGCTTAGGATTTTAAGAGTTTGCTCCTCATGACAGTAGAGGTATTTTGTGATTTTTCGAAAGTCAGAAAGCAACTCTATACATGTGACCCTAATTTCTAAGTTTAGATTGTTATTTTGCTTAAAAGAATTATATAAATTAAAATATAAATCAGAAAATTATGGGACTTGTTTTGGTAGGTTTCTTATGGTCAAAGGACTTCTGAAAAAAATGTAAATCAAGCTTTAATACTTATGTAAATTACTGTAATTAATAAACCCTAAAATTTAATAAAAATTAAAAATAAATTTAATATATTTAAAAA